CAAAATTGTGCTTTTATTCATGATGAATATAGACGTTCATCGATTATTGTTAAACCAGGTTTTACATATGCACCACAATATGTACCACCTAATGGTGATCAAACAACAATAGATGAACAAGAACATGAACAACGTTCACGACGTTCAAGTTCAGGTTATGCATCCGTTGATGAACAAATATCAATTTGAATGTATTATTAAAAAAAATGAATGAATTTAAAGGCGGCGGCAACAGTCGTAAGCATCGCACAATTTATACAAACTTCACAAAATTTGTAGATTTGAATAAAATGTGCTTTTGGAAACAGAAGCTTATTATTATTATTATTATTATTATTAATATTATTATTTGTAGATCGTTGTTGCAAATGCATTTATGATGAATTTTTTTTTGTTTCTTTCGCGCATGAAAATTTTGTGTATTGGATTATGTCAAAAATTTTGTTTTTCTCTGTATTTTTTTATAAATGTAATAGTGTTAAACTCGAGATAAATTGTTTAAATCTTTTCTAATGTTCAATATGAAAGAGTAAAAGAATTTTGCTTTATTTTTTGTTCGTTGAATTATTATTATTATTATTTTTTTTCTTTTGCTGTTTAATAACGATAATGTCAGATGTTAATTATAAAATATATATATAAGAATTTGTTTTTCTAAGAATTCTCTATTTATATAGAAAATTAAACTAATTATTCAGAAGCTCGATGTTTCAGCAGTGGCGGATCTAGGATTTTGGAAGGGAGGGGCGATACCTGAGTAGGAGGAAGAGTGGTGATTTCAGCTGAAAACTATTTTTAAAGTACGATCGATAGAGTGCGGCTTTGGGATTGAGTATTTTCAAAATAGAGACTTCAGCTTAATTCTTGGATTCTTTTGAAGATGTACGATGCATAGACAATAAAATTCTCTATCAGACTATTGTATTTTCTAATCTCACTCAACATGTATTGCAGAACAAATACCAACGGGATTTTGCTAATCCCGTAGGTATTTCTTCTTCATATATCCTGAATGAGATCTGAAAGTACGATAGCCTGGTAGAGAATTTTATTGTCTATGCATCGTACATCTTCAAAAGAATCCAAGAATTAAGCTGAAGTCTCTATTTTGAAAATACTCAATCCCGAAGCTGCACCCTACCAATTGAAGTAGTGTGAACCTAATTTTTCGTTCATTTTTGCGGTAAAAAATCAAAAAACTTTCTGAAGGAGTGGGGCGGGGGCGATTGCTCACCCTCCCTTTAAATCCGCCACTGATTTTCAACTCCTTGTAGAATATGTGATAAAGCCGTGTTAAGATATGAATTTTTTCCAGACTTTATCATCCTGAGGACAATATTTATGCAGAGCCTATACTAGAATAAAATTCAGAAGTATAACTTTTATTTGTCAACAAATAATTTATCCAGAAATTTAATATTTTAGTTTTATCAGATGTATACTTGTATCTGTTTAACCTATAAAGATTTGCTCTTAATCATAACCACAACACCTTGTTAAAAATTACTGTCAATTAGCGCAATCTATCGTACTTGTTTTATTCGTTCATTACTGAGTCACAAATGATAAGAAATAGGACTTTCACTTTTTTGCAGGTCATTTCATGTATGCATTTCGTTTTGTTTTTAGAGGTTTTTTGAAATTATTTAGTTCAATCCTCTACCTTAAAATATGAGTAATTACATACAATGATTTTGACTTGACCATCGAAGATTTACTTCAAGAAATTTCACTTTTATTAAAGAAGTATTTAGAAATACAGCTATAAGAAAATATACAATCTATCGATAAATTAAATAGGTCCATTTATATTCTTATCTTTCCAAAAAATTTGTCTATAGTTTTATATTCTAGTCAAGCTCATATGTTTATTTCTACATTTAATATATAAATTATTGTATTATATAAGTGATTATTATGAATTTAACTGTTCTAATAGGAAAAAAAACGTTAAATTTTCTCTTCTTCTTTATTGTAGATAAAGAACATGTCACGACACGTTGATGATATAAAAACTATGCTTTTTGATGAGCCAGATTTTGATAGTGATGAAGAAATTAAAAGTAAATCTGCTCGACGAAAAGAAAGAAAAAAATTCAAAAAAGAAGTTGAAGAAAAAGAAAAATCATCTGTGGAAACAATTGTCTTTCGAGATCCAGCCAAGAGAAAGAAAAAAACCAATGTATGTATAGAAATTTTCTTATCTTATATTATTTACTATATATTTATATAGAAATCTGCAGCTTCAGCATCATTATCTGAACAACAAGAACAAGATAATGTTGAATTTGATCTTGAAAAAGCTCGTTTTGATGTACATAAATTTGGTATTAAAGGTTTTGAAAAGAGTAAATATGAAGATGCTCGTGTTGCATTAGCTGTTAGTTTAGGTGCTAAGGTAACATACTTTTCATTATTTAACTTCAATTAAAAAAACAAAGAATTTCTCTAGCCACCTAAAGGAAAATTTATAAATTATCGTGAATTACTTGAACAAAATCGAGCAAAAAAAATTAAAGAAAAAGAAGACGAAGAAAATGTAAGTTAAATTTTATGACGATTATTTTACGCTATAAAGATTTATTTATTTAGGCACGGTTACTTGGTGATATATTTCATAAGAATCCAAATAATAAAGATAAATCTTCTCAACGACCAAAACGAAGACGTATTGGTGAAGGCGATGTTGGTTCAATGCGTTTTTCATCGGTTGGAAGATTTAAAGGAGGAGTTTTGAAATTAACTGATAAAGATATATCCAAAGTTAAAAAATCTGGATCATCTCATAATAAAAAACGATTAGGAAAAAAATAATCCTATTATATCTCATGTTATTGTTTTAGATATATAATCATAGAAAAAAAAAGATCTTATTCAAAATGATCGTCTATACGATGCTATTAAAACAGGTAAATAAATATCTAATGAAAAATCTTGTGATTAAAAATTTTCGACAACTTGTAGCTTGTAACCAGGTGCCTTCTTTTTTCTTAGTCGACTCAGCACAGTCCAAAGTATCTATTAGAGCAATCAGAAACAGATGATTACAGTTTTTGTGTACTCAAAATGTGAGTACACTACTAGAATCGGTCAGTATGTCCGTCCGTCCGTTTACACGATAACTTTGGAAAGGAGAGGCAGATTTTGATGAAACTTTTTACACAATTCAGTCTCATCGAGTTCTCGGTCGCGTTCGAAGATTAGCCTAATTGGCCAGGTCATTCCCCGGTTATTGCAAATATACTGATATTTCCCTATGATATCCATATATACTTCTTGCAGTACACATAACTCTCGGATAAAATCCGAAGTTTCCACATTTATCAGGTAGAGGTTTTCACGAAAACTTAGACATCCGTAAACTTCAAAACTGGGGGCACACTTAATTTGACCACATTTATGCTATTAATTTGGATCGTTTTCTTTTTCTTTAGTTTATCAAACAAAATTCATATCGTTTGTATTCAAATCAATCAAATATAATATATAGTTCTCAAAAAGCAGCTGATCTTTTGCAAAAACCATCTGATACTCTTCAAGTATACGATGATTATCTAACTGATAATGAATATGATAATTTTTTAAAAGAAATCGATGGATATATGAAACGTAAACGTTATGAATATTCACATTGGGATGACGTATGTAGGTTTGATATATTTATTTAATAGAAAATAATAATATGAAGATTTGCTCTAGGCTATTCATGGTTATCGTGAATCGGAAAAATCTGAATGGACGACGGAAAATCAACAAGTTCTATCACGTATTCGTCAATTTGCTTTTGATGATCCAAAACAAACACTTGTACATGTTCATGTACTTGATATTGCTAAAGATGGTTATATTAAACCACATATTGATGCTATTCGAGTATGATTATCACTAATATCTAATTATATGTTAGGATCAAAATTAGAATATTGTCGGTTTGGACTATAAAACTTGGTCAAAAACCAATAAGGAAAATAGGTAAAAGGCTAAGACTGATAGTGAGGGTGAGAGTGAATTATCGCCGGAAACCTGAGTTTCAGTCAGAACCTTATTGTCTATGAGAATTCTGGCGGTCTCAAATAGACTAACACTTGAATCCTGTACGACACACTCGCCCTCACTATCAGTCTTAGCCTTTTAACTATTTCCCTACTGGTTTTTAACCAAGTTTGATAGTCGAAATCGACAATATTCTAATTTGGTCTGATCAAATTCTAATTTTGATTCCAACATATATATATTTCTCATTTAGTATTGTGGAACAACTATAACTGGTCTATCATTTCTTTCGTCAAGCATAATGCGACTTGTTCATAAAGATGATAAAACACTTATTGCAAATATTTTACTCAAACCAAAATCACTTTATATTTTAAAGTAATTTGAAAATAGAATATATTTGATTATTTCTATATAATGATTCTATTTTAGAAACATTGCTCGATTTGACTTTACTCATGAAATTCTCAAAGATCAAGAATCTTATTTTAATAATCTTCATATACCACGAAATCGTCGTCTATCAATTATTTGTAGAAATATGCCACTTGATCCTACTGCTGGCTGAAATATTTTTTTTCATGAACAAATTTTTCTATAAAATCTTGTTTTTTTTTCAGATAATGAATCCTGATACAGCTCGTCAATTATTTGAATCCGGTGGTATACTTCTTGTTCTTGATGCTCCTAAGGAGATGGAATTTGGTATTGATATGTATTCTTGGCAAATTGGTTCTCAATTTCATGGAATAAAAATGATTCCACCTGGTATACATTATTGTTATTATAGTGAACGTGATTTATTAACAAAAGAACTATCTAATCGACAAAGTTTTTTTATTGAAATTAAACAACCCAACCAAATGTTAGTTCTTATTCGTTGGTCACCAACAGAAAATCTCTTTCAACGTGAACAATTAACATCGGAAGAATATGAAACACGTCGTAATCAACGTTATGAATTTGATCGTTTACTTGGACAATATCCATTAGATACATATCGTCAATGGTTATCATTATCAAATCATTTAAATTATGATTTTATTCAAACAATTCTTTCACCTAATGGTCATATTTGTTCAGCAAATATTTATGATATAAATGAAGATAAGAAAACAACAGAAGAATATTCAATACCAAAAAATTTAACTGAAGCAGAATCTCGTTTACCAAAAATGATACCTAATCCTCAATATGCATTACGTTTTACTAAAATTGAAAATAAAAATAAAATTAAAAGTTTACATTCCGGTTCAGATTTAACTCAATCAAAACTTGATCGTACAGATGATTTAGAAAAAATTCTTAGTGAACGTTTTAATTCAAATATATATGGAATTTTATGTGAATTACAACTAAGTTTTATTGTATTTTTTCTTGGACATTTATATGATGGTTTTGAACAATGGAAAAGTTTATTTCATTTAATTTGTTCATGTCAAAAAGCATTTTGTCGTTGGCCGACAGTTTATGTTGATTTTTTACAAACAATTTATTTTCAATTAAAATATTTTTCAACTGATTTAACAACTGGTGAACATTTATTTGTTGATATTGATCAACAAGAAAATTCCATATATAAATCATTAGAAAATTTATTTGCTAATATATCAGCATTTAATGATAATCAACAAATGGAAGGAAGTGATAATGAAAAATTAATTCAACGTGCAGAAAAAATGAAACAATTTTTAAATGAAACATATAAATGGACATTTGATGATGAACCAGAAGATGAAAAACCAATTGTTGTTGAACTTGAATAAGAATAAAGATTTGAATTTATATATTTTAGATAATGTTTATTTTTATTCTTGGTTTTGTTCTTCTCTGTATGTTGTTAAAACTTTTCTTTTTCATATGTATACATAATTATATGTTCTTTTTCAGTAAGTCTTCTTTATGCTTCGAAGAAATTGTATTGGTCAGGTACACGATGTCCATCAAAAGATCGTATGGATGATAAAATCGTTGTTATTACTGGAAGTAATACAGGCATTGGAAAATATACAGCTATTGAATTAGCTAAACGAGGTTATTTATTAATTATTTATCAAACTGAAATTTTCATTCTTTTTAATCATCTAATATAGGTGCACATATTATTCTAGCATGTCGAAATCAAGAACGAGCAGAAGCAGCAAAGAAAGAAATACAAATTAAATCTAATAATAATCATATTGATATCGAAATTCTTGATACATCTTCATTTCAATCAGTACGTGAATGTGCTTCACGATTAAAAAAACGTTTACCGAGAATTGATGTATTAATTAATAATGCTGGTATATTATTTAATTTTAATTTTCTACTTATTATTTTTTTTGTTCAGGTGTTTTAACCGAATCTCATGAAAAATCTATTGATGGTTGTGAAATACATTTAGCTACTAATCATCTTGGTCATTTTCTTTTTACTAATCTCCTATTAGATCTATTAAAAAAGGCACCATCAGCTAGAATTATAAATGTTTCAGCTTTGGCACATAAATGCAAGTGTATTTGATTTAAAAGTTTCTTTTATATAAATTTAATTATTTTGTAGTTTTTAATTGTCAGATACATTGGGATGATATTAATTTAGAAAAAGAATCCTATACACCATTTTATATATATGCACGTAGTAAACTTGCTAATATTATGTTTACAAATGAATTAGCTAAACGATTAAAAGGTATTAGATAATTTTATTTATAAGAAAAATTTACAATTATTATTATAGGAACAAATATTACAGCGAATAGTCTTCATCCGGGTAAGTGAATATGATACGTACATATATATAACTTACGAAATAATATTTAGGTGTTATAAAAACAGATCTTGGTCATAATATTGGCGGTCGTTATCAGCATATTTTTCGTTTATTCATAAAAATACTATCTCCTATTCTATGGTTTTTTCTAAAAAATACTAAAGAAGGTGCACAAACAACGATTTATTTAGCAAGTGATATTAACCTTGATAATGTCACCGGCAAATATTTTAGGTTTTATTCGATTCATTTTAAACTTTTATTTATCTAATATTCTATGTAATTTAGTGATTGTACTGAAGTACAGCCATCAGATAAAGCTCTTAATGAACAAGATAATCGACGTTTATGGTTACTTAGTGAACAAATGACAAAACTTGATGAAATTTAAAGATATCTTTATTCGGGTTGTATTTAGAGGCTTAGTATAAAATTTAGTGTTTAATAATTATTGTATCTGCTTAGTTACCACTGCAAGAAAGCTTAAGTTCGATGTACCTGAAAATTTTAATCCTAGAATAGGATTTTTGAAGTCTTTTGCAACTGTCAGGGGTAACGGAACCGTTAAATCCCGAGGTGGACGCGAAAACTATTAGATCTATGTCGATCAATCGTATTTTGATAAAACACGATCTGATAGAAAATGTTGAAGTGTTCAAGAGTCGAAATTTGACCCTCCCCTCATCCTCTTATCTAGTAGTTTAATGGTTCGGTTGCTTTATACAGTTGCAAAAGACTCCCAGAACTCGATTTTTGGATTAGAATTTTCAGGAACAGTGAACTTAATCTTCCTTGCAGTGGTAACTAAGCAGATACAATAATTGTTCAACACTAAATTTTATACTAATCATTGACTATAAAATACGAATCACTTAGTTTATTGCCTTTTTATTCTATCGCCTTTTATTTTGTAGATATATTTCATCATGAATTCTCTTGTTATTATATTTTCTATTATTTGTCTTCCAAATATTATCTATACATCTATACCATTTACTAGAAATCCAGGTTGTGATCGACCTGAATGTAAAGAATTTAATCATCAAGCATTATACTATGCAAAAAATGATATTGATGATAATACAGTTCATATAATTTATTCATCATTTGATGAAATAACAATTAGTATATTCCAAACAGCCAAAGGTGTAAATCCAACATTTGATTATGCAGCTATATTTGAAAAGAATTATACTAATGCTATTGATTTTCACGGTGCAAAACTAAATAATTCTTTGACGTTAGTTCTCCGTCGTTTAATTCAATTTAATGATATAAATGATAATGGTAAGATGGATGTTAATGATAATACAACCATTTCATATTTTATAAGTAATATAAAGACAACTAATGCAACTTTTCAAGATAATACAGAGCAACCAACATTTCAATTACCATTAGACATGGTACAGAAAATTTTTCAGAACAATAAAAACAATTTATTTTATTCTTTTTTTTTTGTTGTGTTTTAGTTGAATGGTTCACTAAGTATTGATATTGTCTATCCTGGTGCAACAATGCGAGATACGAAATTTCCTAAATTAAAAACGGCACCAAAAAGTTTGTTTATTAATATTGCTGTACAAGCCAATACATTTTCTTCATCAAAAACCCGATTTGCTTTTGAAATACTTCAAATATTACCGGGTACTGAAGGCTCACGTATATTCTCATCAAAATTTATTGATGATCAATATACACCAGGTAAATAATATGTTTATAGAAACGAATTAGCACTACGGATTTAAAGAAAAAGACTTATTTGCTCGAAGTGATTTATAATAATCATTCAATACTGTTTTATTCGTAGGGAAACAGTAGGATCTTCATGAACGAAGTCCCTTTAAGTTAAAAGCAGGGGCGCGTGGGACGTAACATCCCCTCCTGGTTTAGAAAACTTTTCGGTTTTTTTTGCTCGCAAAAATTTATTCTGTGCCCCCCCCCTGCCCTCGACACATCGGTACGCCTCTGGTTGTATGCAGTCTTTTGAGAAAACCCAAGTTCCCATTGCTGAAGTCTCTGTTTTACTAAAATCAGTCTTTAATTTTCTCGTTCGCTAGTCAAAACAAACCATACTTTATCTGGCATAATATTAAATTGTGAATATTTTCATAGGTATTTTTAATGTATATCAATTGCGAACAATGGATTCATCGAATCCAGCATCTATGCTATGGAAACCTGTTGTATATCAAAGTGAAGATCGTACAATCGAACAAAATACATTAATGCAAGTTTATGAAATAGACAATAATTTTACACTTGATAAAGAAAATGATCAAGGAATATTTTTTGCACTTCTTTCTAAACCGAAAGTATCAGCATTCAATATTTCACTTGGTCAAGCAAATGATGGTAGACAAAAAAAAATCAATTTTTTCTTTATCTATTTAAATATTCTAGGTTTTTTTACTAAGACAAATTATACATTTATTCAATTTACAGCTGGTCTTGATTTACTTGAACCTGATTCAACACAACAATTCGTTACCATTGCATTAATTGTTAGTCTAGCTTTACCCGTTATAGTCGGAGTTATCGCAATTATATTTATGATAAAACGAAGATTTTCACCACAGGAATGATCATGAAGTAATTATAGTGCAATACAAAAATTAAATCGAATAAAAGAGTAATGATTTTTTTAAAAATAATAGTGCAATAATATTAAAGCAATTGTGATTATTTGTGTGAATTGTTTTCTATTTTTTTTTAATAATAAAAAATATCTGTGATTTATCAGTGTGATTTATACAATCAAATATTCTTTGTTTAATTCGAATATTTATTTATTTATAATTCAATTTGTTCTATCGATATTTACAAGTAACGCTCGTCCGAGGATTCGCTTAGCTTTTTCTCGTAGAAATGTATCCTCTTCACATGTACTGGAAAAGTAATTTAAAACCGCGAAAAATCGATCTTCGATGATTTTTTGACCTTTCCCCCTCACCATAGTCACCCAACAGACCTCAGATTCGAACTCCCCGTCTTAAAATGTCTTGTTCGAAAAATTGATTTTCAATGTTTTTTTGACCCTGGGGACAGACAAGCAAGGAAACAATTAATTTTTAATGGACTCTTCTATACGAGAAAGAGAATATTGATAAACTTCGTATTAGATCAAAAAACGAAAACTGACTATTAAATTAATTGATTTGTCGACTGTCCTAAATAGTTAAGTTTTGTTTCATCAAATCATCTTCTGAAAAGACTCTATACTTTGATTTGCATCTCATTATTTTTTAATGAAAAAATAATTCCAATAATGAGTATTTATTTTTCTCAAATCGAAGACTAGTAATTTTAATATTTCATCAACTTCTCTTATTTTCAAGGCTAAAATTATTTTACACCGTTAAGTGTCAATCATTATGATTTATTTTTTAGTTATGAAAAAAAAAAATATCCACTGCATAAATATCATGTGTTGTTTTTTTTTGTACAAGAAATATTTACAAAAATGTTCGTTTCAATTGACGAAAGAATATTGCACTTTTACAATAGGTACGTTTTAATGTTCGACGTGAAAGAACTGATGTACGAGTATTATTATTATTGTTATTATTGTTACTATGAGATGATGAAGATTTTTTGACAGGTGTTGATGAAGTTGGTTGAATAAATTTTGTTTTTGGCGTCGAAGTTATTTCAATAAAAAATTCAAATTGATCTTGACTTTCAATTGGTCTAAGAAGACTAGAAAACAATATCGAAAAAATATTACCTTGATTTAATCTTTATCTTTTTTTTTGTTAACTTACGTTTTACTACTTTTCATTTCTTCCTGCATTATACATATGAATGTATGCTGTGTCGATTGTCTATATGAATGAGTAAGATCAATTGAAAGAAGAATGAATGAATACAATTGTTCTCCGAGATTTTTTTCTTCTTCGCTTCTCGCTCTCTCTCTCTCATTCATTTTTTTTCTCTCTTCTGTACATAATCATCTGCTCTTCACTCACTCACTCACTTCATTGAAGCATGCCGATAATGTTTCACACTCTCCTGCAGAGCCGTTTTAACGAGCTCATTTGTCCTTTATCGGCAGGACGTCACAGACGTTTTGATTTCTATTCTATATGATGTACATACAAGCCGCTCTCATTACAAAATCATATTTATACAAAATTTTGAGGAAAACAAATCGTATTAAATAACACTGATTTCATTGTTTTGTTTTTATTTACAATTAGATAATAAGTGTTCGAGTACGTGTATAAATTGATAAAGGACGAATACGACATGATACTTGAGGTTTTTGTGTCCATAAATATCGATGAAAAAGATCTTGTTTAATTCGATCAAGTTCAGTTTTTGTCGTAGTTCGATATGGATGATGTGAAAGATGAAATACATCAGCAAAATATTCTGGTCCAAGCATAACTAAATCAGAAAGACGATAATTTTTTTGACGATCACGACAAGATTTATTTTTTTTATTTGATGGAAATAAAGGTAATGAAGCTGATGTCATCTCTGGTATAGACTTCGAAGAAATTAATTCATTAGGTAATATAGAAGGACGTTCAGATTGAAATTTTTTAGGTGTTGTAGAAGATTTTCTCTCGGAAATATTATTAACAAGTTGATGACGTATACGTGCAGATGTTGTTGTTGTTGCGAGATTCACAGAAGGTAATACAAGATTATTCGTTGTACTAGTACGTCCACTACCGATTTGTGTTTGAGCATTATATTGATGAGATGATCTTGTATTAATTGAATTTCGATTATTTTCATTAGGAATTTGTATTGTTTCTCTAGATTTTGATACAAAAATTGAATCTTGATCATCTGGAAATTCTAAAATACAATCTTCAATACAATCTTCTAATGCTGATTTAAATATATGTGAACATTTGCCATTGATTGTTAAGACTTTTATTGGTATTTGTTTAGTTTCTAATAAAGATACATCATTGACATCGATATTGGATAATCGATGTTTGATAAAATTATTATGATTGACTTTCGGCATATCTGAACAAGTTGAATTAGAAGGACTTGTTAGTATAGATGATTGACTATCATATAAAGCTAAAAGGTAAAAACAAAAATTGAAATATTTCACATCTTTTTTTTTTCTTCAAAAATGACAACAGATCCGTTCCAATATTGATTGATACGTAAATATTTTTATCAAGTATAGATAAATAAAACGCATATATTTTCATACGAACCTTCATTTTCATTGATTTCTACGTCCAACATGATTGTCTATTGATTCTCTGTTGAAAAAACTATTCGAATAGATAGTATATATATATATATTATTGTAAAAAATCGTAGGTGAATGTATGAATTAGAAATTGAAGCCTTATAATACAAGTGCGAATGATGAAAATTGAAAAGAAAAAAAGTACTTTTTCTTGATTTTATGAATATATTTAACAAGAATTCAAAATCTATTATTAGCATTATTTGCTTATGAACTTAAACAAAAAAAAAAACTTTCATCAAGTACATTATTGGAAAAAAATATTTGATTTAAATCGGATGATTTTATATTTTTAAATAATAATTTATTCGAAATCAAATGTTCCTACAATGTAATTTCATTCTCTAAAAATAAGTCTTACGGTTCAGACAACATTGATATTTTTTTTTTTTGAAAAACAAGAAAGTCATTTTTAAAGACAACAATATTTTGTTTTATTTACTACTGGTTCATTTGAAGTTGAATCTTCTTCATTCCATACTTTTAAATAATGCATTGTAAAAAAATCATTTTGTATCCAAAAATATTTATTTATTGCCATAAACATTAAATTTTTCGTTTTATCATCAAGATTTTCATGACTCCATAGAATATCTAATAATAAATGTTCAAGATAACCAAATAATGCATTTATATGAATATAATCAACATTAATTGATTCGGAACCAGATTGATCTGTATGCATTTTACCAACTTGTGATAAAAATTGAAGAAATGTATCATTCCAATCAGTTTGTGTTAATACACGTTTTAAATATCGACTTAACATATCTTTTCGAAATGTCATTTGTGCTGACTCGGTTGTTAAACTTGTAGGTTTTTTTATTATATTACCTTCAAAACCATCATTACGAATAAGAAAATATTGTTTTGTTATATCAAATCCAAGTAATTTTCTATAGACAGTATCAGCAACAACGGGAATACGTGGAAGAAGAATAACTGCAAATCTATTAAGCAATTGAATATCATCCGATGTAAAATTAAGAAATTTGGATAAATAATCGAAACGATAACGAAGATTATTGTTAAGTTGCTTGAGTTCAATATGTTCAGTCATATTAGTAGAAAGAAAAAATGTCGTTTGATTTGTTTTTTTGTGTAATATACTAGTTTTTCTTCTCTCTTTCGAGATTCTATTTTTTTGTTGGCGGAAACTATTTTTCTTTCTCTTCTCGTACTAGATAGGAAAAAAAGGATTAGATATAGCAATACTATTATTCTATTGCCAGTTTTTTTAGAAAGAATACAAATGATGTATTTCTAAAAAATCAGACTAGGTCATATGTTAAAACTGTGATTTTTTTATTGATCTAAATTCTTACGTATTCAATTTCTATTTTCAATTATATTACAAATTCATCAAATCAATTCATTCAATAGTACTTATTCTCTTTCTCGTAGAGAAGAGTCCAGCAGAAATAAATTATTTGCTTGCCTGTCTGTCCGCAAGGTCAAAAAAACATCGAAAATCTATTTTTCATGGTTTTTTCAGTAAATGTGGGGAGGATGTATTTCTACGAGAAAGAGCTAAACGAGTCCTCGGATGAGCGTTACTTGTTCATTTTGACAACACATCAAAAATAATACGATTTCATTTCATGTCAGTATCTATATTCATAATATGTCAAATTAATCTATGAACAAAAGATCTATGATATCTATTGAATGTTTTTAAATCTAGCAATAAATTAGAATAACTTTTAGCTTAATAATAAAGGTTATAGATATGTTTAGAAACATGTTCCTCCAGTTCTTTTTTCTCTGCAATTGAGGTTAAAGTACCGAACGATAAAAATACTTTTTTCCCTCGGTAAATAGATTAGTAATTATAGAGACAGTAGCCGGAAGTGAGAAAAAATGAAATAAGAAATATTCATTTCTAAATAATTTCAAGTAGAACATATGTAGTCTTTGATATTTACTAATTATTTATATGAATAATTCTTTTAGAAATGTCATACATTTTAACTGAAGCATGGGTTTTGTATGTAAAAACTAATAATGATATACAGACAAGATTTTTCCACTAACGAACAGTGAAGGTCTCATTATATGGTAGTATATTTCCTTTTTCTATATTTCGTAGCTTTATTCATTATTTCCGATGGGTTTTATCTTTAATATTATAGGCATTCTCCCTTAAGCAATAAAGAAAAAAGAAAATACTTTATGTAAATCCTTTCAATTCAAGCAGAATTTTTAATTGAAAACTATAAGAACAATTGTTTGATTAATGAAAAGATTTTTTCTATTAGAAATCATCTTATCTTTAATATAATATGACCTTGTGAAGGGCTTTTATAACACGTTGTTTGGTATGTTTTCCTTAGTAAATTAACAATTATTTGCCTTTTTCTCGATTGATAAAATGCACTTAAAATGCAATTGTTGAGTATATATGACTAAGAAAAAGCTTTAGAGTTAAAATCTGAATTATTTTGTGTAGAATTATTCTGTAACATTTTAATTATAAATACAATCAAAACGATTGAATTAGAACGGCTACAATATTCAGCATATCGTCTGTTTACTCATAATTACCATTTTATATCTACTCTTATTTAAAATACATCACTTTAATTTCATAACTTTATGATGATATATTTTGAAAGCATGTACTAATTTGTAACAATTTGTTTTTCTAAAAAACGACAACAATTTGGTAAACTAGTTATTAACATCATAGACCAAGAAGCAATAAAATTATCTAACTACACATGTTCTCAAATGCTATAGTAATTATTATTTTTATCTCAGTCATAAAAAAGCATTGACATATTTATTATTCTAGTCAAATTAAACTATATTATTTATCGGTAGTATGCATCGAAGAACACGAACTATATTCATAATTAAACTTTGATTCCGTGAAAAATAAATGTTATTTATCTGGAAGAAATGTACTCGTAAAAAGACGGATTAGTTAGTTTTGATTTTTACATAAACATACATTTATATACTATTGAAGTTTGTGATAATTGCACAAGTCTTATTAAATAAATGATTTGAATCTCTCGAAGAAATTTAATTGTATCCTAAATAGACTGCAAAAATTACGCTTAAAATATAGAATATTCAAAGAGATATTGGCAACAAAGCGATGAAAAGATCGATTAAAAACTTTGATGGGCTCGGGTGCGTGTGAGACAGTCACACTCACTCCCTTTCTTTCAAATATCCAATAATATGTAGAAGATATGAAGCAGAAGACCTTTAGCGATGGTATACTAATTCTAATCAGTATAGATAAATCTGCAGATTTATTTTCGAATGAAATTAGATTGATTGATGAAGATAGTGACGTAGTCAGAGAATGAGAGATGGGCAATTGTCTATTCAAAACATTTGAGTCTTAAGTAGTTTTTGCTCATCGATCGAAAATTCCTGAATATGCCACTGGCTACATCCATACCTACCGAATTATATTCTTTCATTTCGTGTTCCATAAAATATCATGCTTATCTCTTCAGTCTAAAATAAAAATTATTTTTTAAAATAATTAAAACTTAGCATAATGAAAATCCTCTATCGATTATATCACTTTGTGCAGTCATATAGTTTGATTCTTCACTAGCAAGAAAAGAGACAAAACTTTCTTTTTCCATCTGGTTTAGCTATACGTCCAAGAGGAATCTTTGGCGAACAACCTTTGTAGATTTCTTCTTTTGACACTTTTTCATATGTTACCATTTGCTCAATACATGAATCAGCCAACTGAGTTTCAACAGATCCTATAATAGAATATTAGATTTGTGGTTGCAAAAGTGTGAAACATACCAGAACAATAAGCATTAACTGTGATCTTGTGTTGAGCGAGTTTTATCGCGGTAGCCTGTGTAAGACCACGAACACCCCATTTACCGGCACAATAATGACCGACCAATGGCATTGTCATGTGGCCAACCATACTACAAGCACCAATAATTTTATCACCTATACCTTGAGCAATCATTACTTTTGCAGCTTCTTTATAACAAAGAAAAACTCCACGTAGATTAACAGCCAATACCCTATCCCATTCATCTGCAGTTATTTCGATGAGAGGTTCTATTGGACAAAGTCCATCATTAGCCACTACGACGTTTATGATTTATAGAAAATAAAAATGAAGTAAATGGAAGATAACTTTATTGTACATACATTCAAACTTCCTAATTCTTTTGCAACATTTTTCATCATTATTTCGACTGCTTTCTCATTGGAAACATCAGCAATAGTGACAAAAGCTTTTCGACCGAGTTTTTCTATTTCTTTTTGAGTATCAGTAAGTTCAGTAGAATTTAAATTGATATCATTAACAGCTACATTAAGTCCATTCCTTGCAAGACGAAAAGCTATAGCACGTCCCATTCCTCGAGTAGCACCAGTCACTAGAGCAATACGAGACATCTAAAATGTTAACAACAAGAAGCTAAAACAAAAATTTATAGTTATCTCAAAGAAAGTATGACCACATTTTGAGTCAACTATACGCTTTGACTATTGATAGCATGTTTTAAGATAAATTCTTATTATTTTCATAACTAATAATAATAAGTATATTTTATATCTAAATTCAAACTATTCTGTCTTTTCAAACTGATAAATATATGTATCTTACACAGTGAAAACGAAATCATAATGTAATACCTGTTTGTACATAGATTAACTTACTATTTTTATATCGAAATCACGTAAGTATATTTTGAGTATATTTATCTCGACGATATGAATTACATAAGCATTCTTTGTTCTTTCCCTTCAGCCATTATTATGTTTTTTGGATGAGATAAGCGACAGATTTCGAAGCCGTGTTTTTCTTTTTCTATAGCTTCACAAATATTACTAAAATATGAATACTTTTATCTTACGATTGATTCTATTTATCTATCGAAAAAATCGAGATACCTTTTTTTAATCAATATATTTTACCTCTTCTATATTTTGATCAACAATCTAAACTGACACATATCAAATCAAATCCTATTTTCTGAATAAACAAAAAAGTATGAATTGAGGGTGCAGATGTAGATGTCTATTTTCTCTTGACTGACACTCACATCCTCAAGATGGTGAACATTTGCGCATTCATAAGGACGAAAATGTATAATTAATCATTTCATTTGAAGAGTATGAATGTAAATCTTACTAATATATATCCACACTTGCACCCTCAGTCTGGTTTGGCTTGAACTGTCTGCCTTTAACAATCGGCCACAAATAGCTCCAGACGTAACTTCATTCCATATCACACGTTGTCAAATATGTGATATTCCTAAAAGCTAGTGAATACTAATGACAATTTCACATAGTCAAAAAACGAACACAAATAAACATTTCAAAAATCTTACAGAAATGGAGAAAAGTTGTTTCCGTAGGACTCTATTTATGATAACAGGGTCATACGAAAAAAGGGAATATCTTGTAGAATATGTAAATGAGATATTCAGGAATTTCTGATGATTTTTGGTTTTTGAACTCGATGATATTGTCAATGCAGACTTCTAATGAGATTTAATTCGATATCTTATAGAAATTTAACTTTCCGATTCACGTGTCTATTCAATTTTTCAAGTGATGTATATTTTATTTCGTAAAATTTTGTATCTTTGAGCATTTTTTCATGAATATAACTTCAACTATGTGTATGTTAATAATATTGCATGTTTTTCTTCTTCATTTTATTTATCCTGTGCAGTTCAACTGATGATGATAGTAAATATATTATTGAATCAATCTATTTCTCTTCCATCGATAACAATATAGATATATGATCAAAGACTTCTGCAAACCAATTACGATATGAAAAATAAATTTGAAAATGTTTTTCTTTAACAATGTTGATAAATAACTGAACAGAATAAATCAGCATTCATACTCTAATCCAACTAATTTCCTTGGTAAGTCTATCGTCTTTGAATAAAAATATGAAAGAGCTCGATTGGCTACCATTGAAATTAACACTTCAAATAATGGTAAATCCGAAATATACGACCATGTATTGTATAAATATTTTGATCTTGTTTATTTAAAAAAAAACTTTATTGCACTACAAAAGATACTGATGTAATAAGTAATCGTGTCTTATCAGTTGCACATCGTGATTTACGTAAAGTTTATGCAGAATATGAATGAGACTATCATAGTGAATGCATCAAGTATTAGACTTGCATTCTCACTCTCAACATCCACCGATAATATAAGATGAATTATGCAATGGAATTCTTTGAATATTACAGAAACAATTATTTATTATCATTTCAATTGAATTGTAATATTCAGAATTCTTTCATATTGTCATTAAATCATAAACTTATTTATGTTATCTATATGATCAGCACTATCAACCATCTTGAGGGTGAGGGTATGAGTGTGTGTCACTCCTTCATCCGCTCCCTCATCCTTTCCCACTACATACATAGTACACGTCATCACTGATTCATGGACGAAGAAAAATATATCATGCACCTGTTTCAAATCAACAGTATGTATAAAAGTATCTACGAGAAGAAAGACTAAAATAATGCAATCAATTCGAAATCATTATCAAATTAAACTTTACCCAGTTTATTTGATTATTTTGATGAGATTGATCTTCTTCGTATATTTTCTGAATTCAATTCTTGTTTGAAGTTTCTTCTATCGAAAAATATGGATTTCATTGTCTGAAGTGTTTTATCTCCTATAAAGAAACCTGATTTCGATGAAAGAACTATACTAAGAATATTATCCACTTCGTGCTTCTTGAATTCATTTATTTTTATCATCATTATTATTTTATATTTGGTTATTAAAAACTTTATTAAATTGTATAGAATATATGATAGAAATAGACAACATCAATGAATTTAAAACAGAAGATTATCTTCATCAACATACATCCGTAATCTTGTTTATTACGATGTAATTGATGGTGAGTGTGGGTGTGTTGTGTTTGGGTGTAGGCTGTGGATCGGGGCCTGTCAATGTAGGTGAGCGGAAGGCTCTTCCGAATCCATACTCACACCCAAACACAATACATCCACATCTTCAGTTCCAATTCTTCTGTTTTATTGTTACACTCTACATTATAGACATTCTCATGCGTTTCCTATAGGGTGAAGCATAGTTTTCGGAAAATCTGATACAACGAACGCCGATCCAGCAGTAGTGAGGTGACCATAATCATAGGCTGTTAGTGTGTCGACACTGTCTCCAGTTCTCGTTAGGCAACCATCAGAGTTGCAGAATATTTTGTATGGAGAAATATAATTGATCTTCGTCTCAATAGCAAAAGCTTGCATTTTCTCATCTAAAGTATCTATGTTCGAAACTAAACCAATGCGCATACGTATGGGCACTTGGTCTAATTTATGCTGCAAGCCATAATCATAAAGATTCTTTGGTAAGCTACCATGCCAAATCGGAAATGGTCCCACCAAATAAATGTTCTTTATCGTTGCATTCTTCAAGCTTCTAATAGTGTTTATTACGT